TATGGCGACTCCGAAGGTACTAGCGCAGCAGATGCCTGTACAGAAGAAGACAACAAGTGTGATGTAATCAAAGCACTTCCCATGATGGGAGCTTTGTTGTGGTACAAGACCAGCGATTTCATAGCACAGAGCCTTTGTTCTAATACTCTCGGCCAACCAGATGCGTCTTCAATAGAGCAAAAGTTGAAAGACCTTGAGTTGATGGTACATATGGTTATTGCGTACGCTGCCACCCTTCATTGGAGGGAATTCTTCGAACAAGCAGTCGAAAGAAGAGCTTTCTCCGACCTTGAAAATGCTATGTCCTTGGTCGAACAACGAATCAAATCCATTGAATTTGCCACCTCAGCCTGCAARAGTGTCGGAGCTACCGATCTGTGCACAGTTGGAGATATATACAAAGAATATCAATCACTAAAAGGATTGAAAAAGACCCGGACCACAGAAAGGCGAGACCTGCATCTCCAGGTCAACGTTGACCATGGAAAGATGGTAGAGTTAAAACAGAAAGCCCTGCAACATATTGAGCTTTTAGCAAACATCAGAAACCTCAATGATGATCTCCAAGCATCTGTTAAAGGGATTTCAAGCTACTTTATTGGCCTTGCAGATTATGACCAACGTATTGCCGATGCTGATGTTGCATTTATTGACGGAAAACTAAAAGAGTTTGACGAAAAGGCTACAAAAGTGTCGGAAAAACTTGAAAAAGACATGCGAGCCGCCATGGCATCAATGCTTACAGGAAAGATAGCTCAGTTAATCGAAGAATCTGTTATTCTTAAACTGAGAATTGCTGAAAACATGAACCCACTAAAAGCCATTTTTGGTGGCGTGAGCGCGAGTGACATATATGACCAAATTGGACAAGTGGCTGCTGCCGCCGCTGATGTCACACATGCTGTAGCTCTGCAGACTTCGCTAACAGGGGTTCTCCAGGATACCTATGAACTGACCAGGAAATTTAAAGAAAACGCAGACCAGATAAACAATTTGCAAACGCTCATTGACTCAATCAAAAACAACGACGTTAAAAAGCTTGAGGAAGATGCTGACAAATTTATCAAAGCCTATGGTGATTACACCCCCAAAGTGGATCGTAGCTTGCTAGCACAGAATGATGGTTTGTGGGGAGCTTTCAAGGACACGACCTGTGATTTGCTGATGAACGTAGAGGGTGTTGCTGCTAATATTCCTAGAGGTGTTGCTGGAGGAATGCTATTGTGTGAGAGGCTGGAAGGAACACTGGCAGAGTTCTCAACTCTCCGAGAGGACATATTTGACTTTCAGTTTGATCTTGTAGACTCGTTTGCYCGGGTAATTCGCGGCAACATTGCTAAGAAGCTCGCAAAAGAAATAAAGCCCGCTAACGACCTTCTAGACGCAGGCAAACTTATGCTTGGATTTTTCATGACCCAATATCGGCTTCAATCCGAAGCATTTTTGTACTGTGATAAACTAGAGTACAGGAATCAAGGAAGAAAAGTTGAAGCTTGTAATATACAAAATGAATATTTCGACCCTAGTGCTTTAGATAACCTCATTGCGTACGACCCACCTGGACAATATCATGAAGACGAGCGATTCGTCTATATTCCTACAAAACCTCAGTTCCGAGGAGACAAAGGTTTCATCAATCTACCGTCTTTGGCTAAGGGGGAAGAGGTTGTCTTCCATATACCTAGAAAAAGAGAATGGCTGAGGAAGTATAACTGGCTTTCAGCAGGTGAAACGTTGGCGGACTTTGTCGTGAGTTTTAAGCTGTATCTCCCCCTTAAGTCCTACGATGCTGTAGAGAATGGAAACCGTCATCTCAAGACCAAAATCCATCTCCAACCAAAATCAGGAAGCTTTGTTAGCGAAAGTTCCAATGTAGTATATAACCTTCCTCCAGAGACCAGCGATTATTACACTTTGTACGAGGAGGGATATCATCCATCAAGATGTCCAAATGGAAAAGAGATCACCAACCCTTATAGTCTTTGTAGAAATCTTCCTCTTATTTGCGATACATTGTCAAGAGAACCTGGTAGAAGTTTGATGCCAACCATTCTGACAACTTGGAAATTAAGCTACACTGTAGAGAGTGGCAACGATGATTTAAAATGGGATGCACCAGATCCCGCGACTGATCTTCTGATTATTGGAAAAGTGAAACTTCGCTTCCCTGCCCTCAAACGATCTTCTGGCAAGAGAAGCGATCTTTTCAAGAGAAGTGATGAACCAGCTTTTGGATGCTGCACAGGTAACAAGTACCGACCAAAATGGAATGATCCAGCATGCAACTCATGTCCCTCCCAGCCAACTGCTTCTCTGTCTGAGATGGGAGGCTACTACTGCAAAAAGGGAACAGAAGAAGTTGCTATAGAACCACCTTCTACTCCAAGTACACCTTCAGGGGAGAACAAAAAAAACCTTCAATCCAGAGGAAAAGTAGAATGAAATTGAATTTTTCACAATCTTAGATTTTTTTAGAGAAACGAAGTACTACACAAGCTTCTCTTTCTCTTCAAAGTAGTTAGTAGCAAGTATTATAATTATGATAATAAATATACTGATAGAGGTTTTGCCCAAGCCCTATGTTATAATAAGGAAGTTACTTGGCGACTTGACAACTCAGAATGAGGACTGAAGTGGTGTAAGATCTGAAGTTAGAGAATCGGAAGATAAGCTGAAGATTTTTTTTGGGCTCGAGACGAAATGGAAGCATAGTAGCTCGGAGTGGTACAGCAAAATCTTTTATGTAACAATTGGTCTCTCTCTATATAAAGTCACAATTAAACTATAATGGTTGAAATGGTGTTTATTATATATGGTGTCAAGGAAGAGTAGGGAGGATCAAAGGAGAGAAATTGAAGGATTCGTTGGTGTAGCGGCATAGAACACAAATCACAATGTAAACGTCCATCGAAAGGTTTTTACTTTATTTTCAACTTATTCGACACAGAAAGTAATCAAGATTCAGCTAGATTTCAGTAAAATCCTAAAGAAAACACATATAGTTACAAACGAGCAAAATAAAGAGCATAAAAGGCGAAAAATAAAGAAAATCCACTCACCAATTGATGAACAAACTTCTGTGCAAACGAACACGCTACACAAACTCGCGCTCGCGTTAGCTGATTAGCGGACAAACAAACACGTGACAAAGCGGAAGTTAAAAGGTTAAAAAAGCGGAAGTAAAAGAAGAAACATAACAAAACAATTGTTGAGGATTTAGCCTCAACAGAAATTAAAGAAGTAATGGAGGGAGGGAGAGACCAGCGGAAGGGAGGGAGAAAATAGGAAGAGAGGAAGAGAGACAGTAGGAAGAGAGATATTAGGAAGAGGAATGAAGGGGGTGAGTGACACAAAGAAGAGAGGGAGGGTTGAGGGGAACAACCCCGAATCGTCTTGCTTTATGTTTATATTTGGTTTATTATTTTCAACACTACAACAATGTCGGGAAATGTTATGTTTTTGTCAGAAATAATCCCATATTTTTGTCAGAAGTAAATAAGATTACCTCTACTTAGGTTTATCCTGCCTACATTATTATCACTATAAATTAAAAGCTGGTGATTTTTTCTTTATGATCTGGTTGAATTTTTTCAGAAAGAGATTCGATCTTTTCCTATGTCTTTCGGTCGTCCAATTGGTAGCCATCGCAACTAATTATATCGCAGATTTATTGTCAAAATCGATAAAATCTCAAAGAAAAGTATAAAGTGAGCATGTATCATTAGAGCAGTTTTCGCATGACTGTGAAAAGCTCACGGCACGAACACGTTCTTGACACGACTAGGGATACGCCAGACCAATCACATTGCTTGAGAATTCACTCTCCATCCAATCAAATACCCGGAACACGGCATAAACACGGCGCGAACACGGTCACGCTAAAGTCACGGCACTTTCAGACCAATCCCATTGCGCGAGAAAAAAATCAGCCAATTAAAATTCTAGAAAACATCACGGTCACGACACGGCACTGAGCTTTTCACAGTCATACGAAAACTGCACTATAGCGATATTAACTGTTTACAAACATTGACGTCAGGAATCAAGTTTGCCGCCAACCATTACAACAAAATATCGCAGGCTTTGTTTCAGTAGCCAATAGATCTCTGGTTGATGTCAGTATAGGTGACCTCAGTGCCAACTTCATTATATTATGATGGTGTCAGGACATCTCACTCTAGCAGGAATAACAAGACTGAAGGAACTAAACTTTCAAGTTAGGGTTTAAGGGAAAGAAATATATTCTTAGCACATATCTAAAGTACATTTTTGCTATTAACTCGCCAAGAAGAGAACAAAATTGGTATTTTTTTGCTATACGATGTGAAGCTGACCTAAGAAGAAGCGTTTCGCCCCGGAGTTCATGACCGAAAAACATACCATATTTTTCCTCTTTCTTTCGAATTAATAGCAAAAATCTACCTCGGATATTTATCTAAAATATATTTCTCGCAAGAAAAAGGCATTTTTCAAGAATGAAATCGAAAAATACTTGAACATTTTCACGACAAGAAGTCGTTGTTCTTATTTCTAATTCATTCAATTGCAAATGCATCTCATAAAACTTCATAATTGCTGGCTTTACCGTGAGTTTTTTTAAAAAAAAAATTGATTTTTCGCTGCCGTCAATCAAAAATAATCAGTCGGTACCTTTTATATTCTTGAAAGTGAAAAACCAATTTCACAGCAAGCCGTTAAAATATCGAAGTTCGCAGAATATCGAAAAAAGCAGTAATGGTATTAACTCGATGGAATATCACTCAAACAATGTCATGTTTTGTAAGAAAGCCAATCCGTGTCACAGGGAACTACTTTTCACTTAAGTTAAGTTGCTATATAAGTTTACACATTTTAATTTTTTTTAGCAACCTTGTGCTATAAACATTATAAACAGGTGGATCAATGTAAAATGATCCAATCAGGACCTGATTTCATCGATATTGCTTCCTCTCAATTAATGATAACAAACGGTAAAGGGAGCCATTCACGATCCCGACAGAGCGCCAGCTATGTACACTAGTTCTAGTCTAGGTAAAAGCAGCCCAAGACTCCACTACTAGAATTTCAAAGTGGAGTCATAGAGATTTTCGGAATAAAAAAATGCTGACGATTAATTCATCAAATACTTCTGATCATGAAGGCCCAGACGATCAACAGATACCTTGGACCTTGTGGCTACGAGGAGTCATTGGTGTAATTACGGTACTCGGAAACCTTTTGGTAATCCTGCTTATCCTAACCCGTCCTTCTCTTCGTACAACACCGAATTGGTTCGTACTCTCCCTGGCCGTCGCTGACTTTCTTGTCGGGCTCGTAATTATTTCAATAGCGCTGGTTTTCATCTTTTTATATCCCTTCAAGGGCTATGGAGTGTACTTTGTGCTTGCCATCCATGACTTTGTTCTTTATGCATCAACAAGCAACCTTTGTGCGTTGACTTTAAATCGTTACATACGTATAGTCCATCCTCTGAAGCAGAATCTCTTGCGAAAGAAGTCCAACGTAGTCATGCTTTTGGCATTTTCTTGGACTGTAGCTTTTCTTCTTCCCTTTATTCTTCTCGTACTGAGAATTTTTATCCAGGACTCTAAAGTAATACGAAGCTACAGCACATTTCTCCTTTGTTTGGACACCTTTCCTTGCGTCTTTTTGCCAGTAGCCTACTGTCGGGTCTTATGTGTCGTCCAACATCAGCGAGCACAAATAACAAGACAGATGAGTCAGCTACGACATAACTACCCCGTGAACAGCAACGAAAGAGAAATGTGTGAGAATAATAAGAGATCTGCCAATGTCCTTGGAGGAGTGATTGCTTTCTTTGTTATCACCAATGTGCTTTATACAGTCGGTGCATGGCTACATTTTCTAGGCATTCCAACTCAAAACTCTACATTAAGCAGGATTTCCCTTCTATTACTCAACACTAACTCCGTTAATAATATTTTTGTTTACGGTTTATTCAAGAAGGATTTCCGTGAAGAAATGGCCAAAGTTTTCTGTCGTAAGCTTGGCAATAGAGTTGGCTCCACCCGCAGCTTCGGATCGCCCACCAAGAGGATCATGGAAATGTAAAACACTAAACCTCTTTTTCAGTCCTCTTGTTGTTCTTCTTATGATCAGGACTTTGTCGTCGTCCTCCTCCCCATCCCCCTCCTCCTTCTTCTTCTATTTTCTTTTTTTCTCTTCTTTATTAATTGGTTCATAGTCTCTCTCTCTCTCTCTCTCTCTCTCTCTCTCTCTCTCTCTCTTGCAATTTGGAATAGTATTCCATCCTAAAGTATATTGCAAAACTACATGCAAAAACTAAATTAATACTATAAAACTAAATTAATGTATGCGCAATATCAGTTTTCATCTGTAACCACCTTAAAGCTTCTTATCAATTATCAATGATCAGTTATAGTGCACTTGCTACTGTCTTTACAACGACTTCGTTGAAAACCAATATGTTAATAATGGGGGGGGGGGGGGGGGGGGGGGGGGAGCCAAAAAATGGACAGTTAACAATTAAATTTTTCGGCCAAATGTCGGTGTATGCTGGCGAGATCCTGCTTCACAAAGAGTGTTCCAATTTCATTCTACTAATCGAGCGTAAAGAACA